GACAGGTGGGTTGAGGCGGGCCATGATCTGATAATAGCAAGTCTCAATCTTTGCAGTCTGAAGTCTAAGCCCAGACCTTTAGAAGCCTCTAAGTGTGAATCCAGGATCCCCAAAACAAGTGACTGGCTTGGCTGCAGCTGCATGAAAAAGTATAGATCAATCTGGGATCCGAATTCAAGAAAGACAAGAAACTTTTTGTTGACGCCTTTGTGCTCCTTGATGGCACCCCCTAGCTCCAACTGCGATGAACCAGGAAAGGAGCCGCGCTGCGCATAGTAACAAGGGCCACAGATAGTGCCACCAGGTCGGGCCTTGATAACTTTGAAATCACCTTCGAACTCGGGAGGGCAATCCTGCACAAGAATGGGAGCACTATATGTCATGACTTGGACATGAGCTATTCATTGCAGTACACCCTCACTCATGAACACTTTGATTGTATCATGTATCCTGTATGTATCATTGTCATTGTATTGGTGCAGTGCAATGCAACATAGCCACATAGTCACACAGTGGACAAGTTAGGTCTGTTTGCCAGGTTTGAAGTTTGAATCAGTTTGAATCTGAATCAATCAACGCTTTGAATTGAAGTCTGAATCATGAGGGCCACAAATACAAGTACAGACAGCCCAGCTAAGTACAGCCAATCTGGAGGACGAATTGCAAAAATCTGTCCTGGTCTTGTGTTCCGAAAGCTTGATTGCAATGAGCACACATTGCATCGTCTGCCTCCTCATCGTCACCGTCCTTCTCTAACTTTTGGGGTTCCTCGTCATCCTCGTCACCGTCCGAATTGTGATCATCCTTCTCGCTGCCAGAGTCAGCCATGGGGGAAGCCACTCTGACAACAATGAGGCAATGAGGGATGGGAAAAATTGAACTGCCACTTGGGTCAGACCTTGATCAGTCTGAAGCAGCTGAAGTTCTGATAAAATGCTGACACCGTGACTGTGACTCTGTGACAGTGACTGTCACCAAATAGACAGATTCAATTCAATGCTTCAACATCCAAGAAACAACTCAGCCAACAAAAAGCAGAATAGTCTAGCTCAGGACAATGCAGGCTGCAAGGCTTAGATTTTCACCGACTTGATTGATGCTGAATGTCGCCAAGCACAAAGCAGGCTACTTTCCGTGATTGCACTTCCTGAGCCAACCAGTCAGGGCTAGCCCAGAAATCAAGCTAATTTGCAGGCAGCCATCGTGGCATATCCCACGTGACAGCGGACATCCATCATAGCCAGGGCCATAGGCCATAGGGCCATAGTCATAGTCATCATGTGCACCGTACCTGCGACAGCGAACGATGATCAACGGTGCTTCAAGCTTATCACTGATCACGCTTGTTTCCAACGTCTAATGTCGAAAGGTGTGTGACAGGTGACTGCTCTTTAGTTACACAGTGACACAGCTCCGAACTGCACAAATACACTCTGAACCTCCACAAGTGTAGGAAAGCATGAAAGCAAACTGCCAAATGCCTTTTTTTCAAGCAACTCCTTGTCCAATTGTCTAACTAGAATATACGCCCAGGACCACCAAAATTGGGATTGATTGGACAATCAATCCCTTAAGCAAACATGTCAAAAGCCTGCAGTTGCAAAAGCTCAGTAGTGTTGTACCTCTGCTGAAACCATGAGGGCACAGCCGATGGGTGGCAGGTAAAGCGGCAAAACTCTTCTCTGGTGAACATCAGCGCACCAGTCTCAAATGAAGACATCCCAGCCTCAACGCTTTGAGCGATTTCCTGCCGCGCCCTCCTGGCTGCATCGCTCTGAGCAAGTTGGGGTTCAGCACTGGAAGCTGGAGCCGCTGAAGCCGATGAAGCCGAAACCAACGCATCATTGCCTGCTCCAGCACCATTGCCACCATGGCCTGCTCCACTGCCACCATCGTCTGCTCCACCACCATTGCCACCATTGCCTGCGCTGTCGTCAGCAGGTGGGCCCATCTCTTGTGGTGGTCCCTGCGCCGCTGCCATCTCGTCTGAGGACGAGGAAGTTGGAGACTCTGGCTCAGGGCGACCCCCAACGACACGGCGCAAAGCACCAAACATTCAGCAGCCAAACAGCAAAAAGCCAAGAGCCGCTGAGCCGAAGTGCCCTGAGAAACACAGAGCATTTGTGCGATGGACCGCTCTAATACTATTGCGTTTCCAGCTTAAACAGTTGGACGTCGGTGGACCCTGCCCGACAAACTCGACACTTGAAGTGTCCCGTCGCCCTGCCTTCTCAAAGCCAGGGGAGCAGTGACAGCAGGTGAAGCGCCAAACGCCTGGGCCTGATGGAACAGCGGAGGTTATCGTTTTTTGGGTGCCTGGGCTTGGAATAATCTCTGGGGCTACCACATTCAAAGAACAGGGGTGCTAAGCAAGGAGCCACACACACACTCTCTTAAACATCTAGTGCGGCGCTGCCTCTGCTGAAGGAAAAGACAACGATGACAGCGGCGAAGCCTGCAAGTGACATTGGTACCACACAAACACCCCCAAGCCAGTGTTTCAATCCAAGACTGAAACAATCTGAATCAAGCTATTCAACATACCTGTCCCAATGTCTTCATGTCTTCACCCACACGACCAAATGCGGAATGATAGATGGGCTGCCTTCTGACCGCAGTGAAATAGCCGAGGAGCCGCTGAAGCCTGTGCCCGAGAGGTGGGGCCGCTATCTAATTCAAGCCAGCCAGTGGTGAACTGGTGGCCAATGAGTTGAGACTCAACAGAAAGCCAAAAGCCATCATCGGGCCAGTTGAAAAGCAAACCGCAACTTCCCTCCGAGCCTCTCAAGGGTGCCGAGGCATGGCTCTGGTGATGCAGGTCAACAGGGAAGAACATCTAGCCAGTTGTACTCAGCTTTCAATACCATTAAACAGATTAAACTTTCCAGAACTGCTGACCTGGTTTTTGGATGCAACATGTAAATTCAACAACAGCCGCAAAGAGCCGTTGAGCCTATAGCAACTGCCTCAGTCTCAGCCATAAAACTCTGCAGTCTGCATGCAGGCGGAAATCGAACCCTTCCAACTCTCAAGCCCGGTTGGCCTCCACACGAAGGAGCTGCAAGAAGAAACGCCTTGGCCGGGTTTCTGGCTGAACGACATAGCATAACGGTCAATGTTTGAACTTGTCGTCCCTAACACCATAAAAAAGTAGTGTTTCCTGTTCCAGGCAACTACAAAGCTATTGAGCCCAACATGCTGCTGAAAATTTTGCTTCACCGTCCGGGAACTTCAGGCCCCGGCGGTTGGAGACGAGGGCTGCAAGAAAGGAGGCCATGCCCTGCCAGCTTTAGTGCAAATAACCCACAAAACCCATTCAATTCCCAGCTGCGATCGACCAAGCATCCCCTGACAGAGCCCTGGCCCTGGCGCCTTCTACCCAAGAAGCTGAAGAGCCGCAAAGCCGACGAGCCGCAGCAGCCAGCCGCCTGTCAAGTGTGTCTGTGTGGGTTTGCCATGGGTTGGACATCACCTCTGGAAACGGTTGAGTGTGGCACCCGCAGGCCTCAAAAGAATAGAGTAGGCTCAACCTTTCCACAAAACATAGCCTAACATCCACACTCCCTCCACACCAGTGCCTCTGATTCAAGAAGCTGACGAGCCGCGCAGCCGCAAAGCCAATAAGCCGCTGCCTGGTGTCACTTGCTTCCAGCCCGTGAAAGGTTACATGAAAATCAAGGGCCATAGGCTGGTAGACTGGGAATCTTTTAATGAGGATTGGCTCTAGGTAGGGTACACATTTTAAAAGATGCTGGAAATAAGTGATGGACTTCTCCCCACATCCGGCCTTGGGTTCGCTGATGGAGGCAGCGCACCGCAGCAGCTGCTCAAGAGAAGGGCATTGAGGGTGAAAGGAATCAAGAAAGTTGAAAGCTCAGTTGGAGCATCTAGTGGGAAGTAGGAATTTGAAGCGTAGGTTGAAGTATGATGGATGGTTTGTTTTTCTCACTTTGGGGTTCCATGGGCTGATTCTCTTTGAGGCTTCAGCCTTGAACCATTGAATATCAAAAACTCAAAAAAAATAAAAAATGTACGAAAATGGCGGGTAGAGCAAACCAATGTCAGAGTGTCATAAACCATATTTCCATCATGAAGGTGTGTACAGCCTGCGCACTTGGAAAGCAACTGAGCCAAGGCACGGCTTTGTTTCTTCACTCGGCTTCAAGGCCTGAGCCTGACCCACAAAGTGCACTGCTCTCAGAGTGTGCAAACTCTCGGGAAGAGTGTTCGGGGCCTCCTTCTCGGCTTTGTTTTCCTCACAGGCCACGAACATTGGGCAAAGGTGGGGCGCACACTGCCCATCCAACCACCCAGCCCTCCGTCTACTCTGACCGCTCAACACCCTCAAGGAAACACCGCATTTGCTGTGAATGTTGCTTCGGCCCGTGGCTCGAGCAGTCCTTGGCTTCAGCCTTCACCTCAGTCCTTAGATGAGCTCCACTGGCCGCGTTGTGCCATGTGGGCACATGTTTCCTCGCATACAGTAATTTAAAGCTGCCAAGGCTCTTCTCTTCAGCTTGAGGCTTGTCTCCTTGCATCTCTGAATCCTGTTCTTTGCCCTCTTTGCTTTCCTCATGAGCTGCGGCGGGACCTTCGCCTGCTTTCTCTTCTACTTTCTCCTCTTTTTCTTCTTTCACCTTCTCATCTCCCTTCTCCTGACACCACCAGCATGACGCCTAAGAAATCATGTGAGAACCTACACTGCGTCTCTCCTACAGACAGAATGTTCACATATATGTCACGTATGTCTACGTCCTCTTTGGCTTTCGCTTTCTCCTGCGACCGCGACTGCGGCGAAGGTGCAGCTCATACGGCTCAGCGAAGACCCTCCGCCTTCTCCTTGGCCTTCGCAGCCAGTAGTGCCGCACGCTTCACCGGATCCTGGTGCAAAATGCACATAGCGCAGTGTCCGGCAGTGTCACACGCAACAGAGAAATACACGCACACACACACATATTATATATATATATATGCATGCCATGCATGCATCCATGCAGGCTGTTCAACAATGCCAACTCAACTCGGCGCGTCTTTTGGCCGCCAGTCAGTTGGATCCAATCAGTCCGCAGCCTCCTCTGAACCGTTCCCTGCACCTGGCGAACCCGAGTCCCACATCCAGAAGCTGTCAGCTGAAGCAGCTTTGTGAAAGCATGGATGCGGCAAAGCATCGCTCCTGAAGTGGCTACCAAGACACATCAAACATAATTACCTAGAAATTCTGTTTAAAAAAAGAACTTGAAACATCATAGTCTTGAGCCATTCGGTCTGGCCTGCGCTGGGAATGGTCAAATCAGAATCTAGCATCATGATGTCATTCGAGAGCTTTGGGTCAACATAGCCCTGGCCGTGGTGGTGACGCACTCGCGCATGACTCGCTGGCCACATCTGGTGACTGCGAAACACAGGGCCTCTGGCAAGTTGTAGAGTGGCTTGTCCAGGAAAGGCTTGTGCCCTGCATCAAACAATTTGGTTCAGCCTAATTAACTTGCAGGGCCTTTGGTGGAACCAATTGCCTGCAAGACAAGTCCAACCAGTTCTTGTGGCCTGGATCGGAAGGAATGTCGGCCAAAGACTGTGGAAGGCATCTGGCCAGTTCCTTGCAAGCTGGCCAGTTCTGGTGTAAGCATTTGACCAAACCCCCCGTCCCTTTCAATCGCGAGAAGGTCATTTGGTCCACCTGGCCTCATCCAACTCCATCTGCTCGCGATCCAAGAATGTTCGAATCACCTTCATTATCTTTTCAGCACCTTCTGCATCTCCCCGACTCTTGCACCTAACAAGCCCAACAAATTACTCAATCAATACAAATTGCATGCAATCAAGTCAGAAATGACAAATGAACAAAATGGCACCGCTGACCAACAACATCCCAATTTTTTGCGCATTGTTTTGCTTTAAACTTGTGGCTGCTGACCCTTCCACGCCATTGCCAAGCTCTTCCAACATATCCGCCTCCCTTGGTAGTGGCAAGCCGATGGACTTTCCAGAATGAGACCGAAGTGACAGCTGCTTAAGTTGCGTCGGTCTTGAGTGTTGGAGTACTGTGAGGCTCCAGTTGCACTTGCACGTGAGGCTCACAATGGTATGAGCTACTCACTTTCACCGCCCCTATCCCGACACAAGCTGAAGAATGCCACTAGCCAAACACTTCACTCTTAGCATCTCGTAGCTCACTGGTTCTCCAAGTGCTTGGCTCACTGAGGGTCTCCATCACCAGCCCTGTGATGGCCTTTTCCTGAGCTGAGCTTCGGCGCTGCGTCACATGGATGGCCGTGAGCCATGAAAGAATCCTGCACCTCTCACAACAACCAAATGTCAAATTATTTCAAGCTAGTCTCACATCGTAATAGGGTGATGGCCAACTTCCCCCGAGCGAGCCTTGAGAGGCTAACGCCGCTAGCGGCTAGCACAACATAATTCACACCTATGGCACGGAGTTGGAAAGGCGAAGCCACGCCTCTCTGGAGAGCAACCCTCTGACAGCAGCTTCGGATTCGGCAAAGGCGTCGAACTCACCACCCAGCTCAGCGGTATCTCATGCCGGCGCCTAGTCTACGGGTGCATGGCGCAACCAGTTTCACAAAGCTTCCCAGCATCACATCCACATCCAGACAAGACACAAAGACCCACATACAGAGATAAACACACCACCACTTCAGGTTGAGGTGCTTATTCCCGACAAACTGCACTCGGACGGTTTCATCCAGGAGGGACAACACCACTGCTTCTCGCGGTTTCTTGCTCTTGCCCACCGAGCCATCTTTGCCTCAGAAAGGGAATCTGACATCCAACGCGACCAAAGGAACTCCAAGCACCAAACGTTTGGCTTTGAAATATGCCATGACCTCAGCTCCCAAGATCAAGCAAAAAAACCTTACCATAAGAGCACGTAACTATATAGGGCTTGCAAAGCCTTGCCAATCCTTCAACTCCGTTCAATCTGGTCACGGTCTGGTTCTCCTGGAACACGATCACCCCATCAGTGTTCCCGATTGGTAGTCCGGCTCGCCCTGCAATCCGTTCCTCAGGGCATTTCTTCACTTCACATCACATGTGCTCCGTCACAAATAAATAAAGATCAAACGCGGACTCTTTGTACAAAGCTGGCCAGGAGTTGAATCAAAGGCACACCAAGGAGCTGGTATAGAAACATCTAGTCTACAATCTACCAGCATAGGAGTCGCGGAACCCGCAATAAGCTAAGTTCAAGGCAATCATTTGGTTCTTTTCCAGCAAGGCCTGCTGATTCAGAACGTGACATGCTCCTCTCAGTGGAGGATCGCCCAGCCTGCTGCATCCATGTGGCAACAGTTCGGCGGGCCATAACCTCGATCTGGGTGTCATGCACCATGGTCAGCACCTCCAAGGCACTGAGGGCACTAAGCCCAAAAAACAGAACAGGCTACCACCAGCGTGCGCAAAACAGTGTCTTTGTGAGCATCTGTCAGCTGTGAGCATCTGTGAGCATCTGCCTACAATCAATACAAGTCATAAAACCAAAAAAATCAGACCTATGTCTCCTGTCCAGCCTCTCCTGGGTATCTCTCCATGGGTCATGGGTCTGAACTTTTTGCTTTTTGTTTTTTTGTTTTCTTGGTTTTTGGCTGGTCTGCCCAAAAGTGACCAAAAACCACAAAAAAAGTTCTGACCTATGTCTCTTGTCCAGCCTCTCCTAGGTCCCTCTCTATGGGTCTGAACTTTTTGTTTTTTCTGTTTTGGCTGGTCTGCCCAAAAGTGACCAAAAACCAAAAAAACAAAAAGTTCAGACCTATGTCTCCTGTCCAGCCTCTCCTGGGTCCCTCTCCATGGGTCTGAACTTTTGTTTTTTGGCTTTGGCTGGTCTGCCCAAAAGTGACCAAAAAAAAAAAAAACAAAAAGTTCAAACCTATGGTCTCCTGTCCAGCCTCTCCTGGGTCCCTCTCCATGGGTCTGAACCTTTTTTTTGTTTTTTTGTTTTGGCTGGTCTGCCCAACAGTGACCAAAAACAAAAAAAAAAAGTTCAGACCTATGTCCAGCCTCTCCTGGGTCCCTCTCCATGGGTCTGAACTTTTTTGCTTTTGGTTTTGGCTGGTCTGCCCAAAAGTAAACAAAAAAAATCCTATTCATTTCTGAGTAACCACTAGTTCAATTCTAACTTAATTCATTAGCTTTTGACTTAAATACAACTTAAGTAAATTCTAAGTCAATTCTTGTTCTAATTGAAACTCGCTTCTATTTCAAGTTTGAATCTAAGTGAACTTTAAATTGAATTTAACTTGAATATGTAACACACTGTGCTTCTACTTTAATTCTAAGTTGGGCCCAATTGAATTCTAAATTAAGTCTATGTATTTTAAAATTTACTGTAATGAAATTTTAATTCAATGTTTCTTCTAATTTATGTGTTTTGTAATTCTAATTATGTTTGACTACCCTGGATCTAAATTTGAGTGTACATGTGAATTTGCAACATGCTTCTGATTGTTTCAGTTGAGCATAACTGAATTCTGCAACTTTAATTTAATTGAATTTTAAAAAACTGTTTCTCTGTCAATACTGTTCTACTAACAAAGCCCTAGGTTAAACGATTCTAATTCAATTCTACCTTGGGTCTAAGTCAATTTCAATTTAAGTAATGGATTTTATTTGATGTTGTTCATTCAACTCCAACTTAATTACAATTTATTTCTAGTTTAATTCTATTTCATTCTATACTGGATTAAATTATAACTTTGCCTATTCCAATTTATTTGTAAGTGATTCTAATGTTAGTGCCCTTGTACAATTCAGATTCAATCGCTTTACACATTTAATTTTACACTATTGTCATTGCAATTTAATTTTGATTTCTATATGTGCATTTTAGGTCTAAGTTGATTTCATTCTAGAGAGTGGGTGTTGCTGGGGGTGTGAATTTATTTAATGTAAGAAAGCAAATGCCTCCATGTTGGACAAACTTAATAAAAATCTCTCATGCTGAAAACACCACCAATTACCTAGAAGTAAATGATAATTTCATAAAACAACAAATTAAATTGAAAAAACTACAAAAAACTATAATAGTAGAATTGAACCTAGTTTGTATAGCAAGGAAATGAAAGGTAGCTTGCATTGAATCCCACATAAATTTGAACCTACAGTGAAGGAAATTTGAAATCAAAGTAGAATTAAACCATAGTTAAAATAGAGTTAACCTTGAATTTAGATAGATTTGAATTAAGTAAGAATCATATTAGAATTTAGTTATTTAGGTTTTGTATTGATTTGCCTTCTGATTCTGATGTACTTACCCAATTGCATTTAATAAAAGCAATGCAATTCACACTCTAAAGGCAAGAAATATGGTTTTGCATAGGGGCTGCGTGGAATTACATTACTACATCCAATGTTTTTAGCAAACACCTAACCTTATGGATTTAGTCATTTTTGTAGTACAGAGTTGAATGAACAAATATGCTTACCAACTGAAAAGAGCAAAAAAAAATCACCATCATATCAATGTGATATCATCACCAAAAAGAGCAACACCTTACAAAAGAACAACTTTCACAACCCTATCAATGTCATATCATCTGCAAAAAGAGAAAACTTTACAAAAGCACAACTTTCAACCCCCACCCCCATGACTACCTGCTCTCTTAATTGTATTGCATCTTTATATTGTTCCTCCTATGCTATATTTTCTACTGTATTGAATATAAATTGGTAAACCCTTGTTATGCTAATCACGTGGAGGTTTTCCAGTGCACGACGAGGTGTCGGGGGTGGTGCACGACTGGGTTCAAATCTTGACTATGTTGGTGCAAGAAACTCATGCGTAAGCAGAGCTCAGATCGCTGAACAACTTGTGTTCAACTATTCAATGGCGATCCATGCAATCAAAAAACAGTCCCAGAAATCTTTAGACCCTTGACTTCGATTTATGTTTTAGAAATCCAGGAACACATGTTCACATATTACTTTGGGTTTTCCAGCCCTTGGAGTGGGGCGGGACTGGGGCGGGAGTGGGGGAGTGGGGCGGGAGTGGGGCGGGAGCCATCAAAGGCAGCATCCACAGCCATCCACACGGTTATTGACAAAAACTGTTATTTACAAAAACGTCGTTTTTGTAAAAAATACTTCTTGTATTGCCAAGCCATGGTGGTCGACTGTGAGCGGTTGGTGCCACCCACGCGGGCCACACCCCGCGACATAGAATTCATAGGTTTTTGATTTTCTAGTGTTAACGCTGCTACGCCCGTACAAGTCATGATTGTTGTTGTTCATGAATTATATCCCCCCCCTCTCACCCCCTCCTCCTCTCCCCTCCTGCCCTCCTCTCCCTGCACAGCAGAGTTTAAATATTAATTGAATTATTGACATTGAATCTAGCGCCAGCTAAGGCCATGGCCTATGGACCTATGTTTCGATGCTAATGCTATACCCGCATTTCTCGCTTCATGGCCCCGCCCCTGGCCAACTCAAGAGGGAAATTGCCACTCACGGGTGAATAGACAGAAGAGGCACCACGCCACCATATGATATCACCGATCGCCAATTATCGCCAAATCAACCCTGTCAGCTTTCAAAAAGGGGAAGAGGTCGGAGACACATTTTGCAAGAAGTCCCTCTCCATAATGCTAAGACACGTGGAAAAGTAATTAAAACGAATCAAAAAATACAAATTTCAATAAACTGATCTAATTATTGCGTTCAATATTTGTCCCTGACTTCTTCCCGACCTCTTGCCGACCTATTCCCGACCTCTTCCCGGCCTCTTCCCGACCTCTTCCCGACCTCTTCCCGACCTCTTCCCGACCT